CACTCACTGCTGCATTCGTCGTCCGCGCACAGTTTGTGCTCGGAGAAGCGCCGGTTCGCGTCCGGCTCCGGGTGGCCCGGCACCCGCCAGGGCGGCCCGAGCAGCAGCAGCCAGAAGAGCAGCCCGGGCGCCGCAGCCATGTTGTGGTCGCCGCGGGGAGCCGGTGACGCGCCGGAGGCGGTGCGGGGGTGGGCGGAGTCGTCCCCGGCTGACACGTCAGCGCGGGCTGGCCAGGGATGCGGGGGTCCCGGAGGACGAGGACCGCGGCTCCGCTCCTCTCCCCGCTGCCTTGGCAACCGAAACTCTCTGTGGTCCCCGCCGCCCAATCGTCTGCCTTTGTCCCTGTCCCTCCGCGGTCGACCCGCCGCGCGATCCCATCCCTCGCGCTCCCCTCTCTGCGACCTCGGATCCCCTAACCTCGCAACATCCCACCAACAGGTCCTTCTGGCACCTCTTCGCAGCGTCTGGGGGCCGGTCTGGCCCAAACCAGCCAATCCGCACCCCCATTCTTGATTCGGTACCTCCTTTGCCGAACTGCCAAATGCCACCCACGGTTTGCCGCTGTTAGGGCCTGGTTCGAGGCTCCCTCTCCTTCAGACTCCCCGGGGTTCTTAGGGCCCCATCCCATGATCCCCTTGGGTTAGGAAGCGGGAGTGTGAGTGGAAAGGTGCGTTGGCGATGTGAATGAGAGCCGGCGCCGGCTTGTTCTTTTATTGAGCCCTGGGGGACAGAGGTGGGCAATGGGTCCCCGCGCTGAGATCTTCAGATTCTTGGGTCTTTATCCATAGTGGAATAAGTAATTTAATTCGACGCCAATGTGTTGAGTTTCCACTTTATGCTACCATTTCATTTCAGGCATTGGACAAAGTACTAGAGTGGTGAGCAGACATATGTAGGACAAAGACAAGCTATCTGGCCTTTGTCTAAGAAAGTCCACAATTTAGTGGAAACGAACTGGCATAAGAACGGCTCTTGAATAAATGTCAGAGTAGGAGACAGCTTATTCACGGCAGCAAACATTTATTGAAAGCTTTCTTTAGGACCAGGTGTCATTCTGAGGCCTTAGATTTATCAATTCATTTAATCTTCACAGCAATAGTTACCTCTCAATGGTGGATCCTGTTACTACCTATCTTCATATTTCAGATGAGTAAATTGAGGCATTCAAACTCTAGTGGTGATGGAGCTCAGATTCAATCCCACTTAGTACCCTCCCTTGTAATCATAACTCTAAAGCCTGTCAGGGAACATGCAATTTCTATACTTCCTTTCTGATTAGGGGCAGCAAAATCTTGTTTAAAGCACAGTGTAACTGAATTATCTACATGTGTAATTAAGGGGGGTGGGGACGCAAGCCCATGAACCAGTGGCTGCCATGCTGTGGCCCCAGTTGGAGCACTCTGCATTGTCTGTGACCAGGGGCTTCTCACTGCAGTCTCTGCTGAGGTTATTCATCAGCTCTGAACACCAGTCAAACCCATCCATTGGCCTCCCGAACTAACTGGGAACTGCCTGCTTCTTTAAAAACGAGAGTAAGGAATGTGGCCTCTCCGTGCAATCCACAGTGTTGAATAAAGGACACGATGGGCTGTTCCCAGAGATGCTCGCAGTTGTTTGTCTGTGGTGCTCTGAGATGTCCCACTGTTCCGGCACAGTCCCCATGCTGTCTGGGAACGTACCGTGGTCAAGGCCACCGAGCACAGCATCCAAGCAGTAGTGCCCTCCGGAGTTCATTTCTTTTCTTTGTGTTTGTTTTAGAGTCGTAGGTGTGTCTAACAGGCACCTCTAACTTAGTACGTTAAAGACCAGACTTTCTTTTCCCTGTCAAACTCTGCTCCCTGTCATCTTCCCTATCTCAATGGCTCTTTAATTCCTGTTTTCCAGGCGCTCAAGTCACAAACTTACAAATCATTCTTGACATCTCTTTCTCTCACACCCCAAGTCCAACTCATCAGACAGTCCCGTGCACTCTTTATTTTAATAGCTTTATTGGGGTATAATTGACATACGATAAACTGCACACACTTAAAATGTACAATCTGGTAAGTTTTGACAAAGGCATACACCCACACTCAGGGTAACTGACATAGCCATCACCCCTAAAAGCGGTCGTGCTCCTTTGAAGTCCCCCGCCCCTCTCCTGCCAGTCTCCAAACAGACTTCCATTGCTAGAGACCGATTTTTGCAATTTCTAGAATTTGATGTAAATGGAATCACACAGTATGTACTATTTTTTCCCTCAGACTTCTTCACTCAAGATAAGCCGAGGGAAACACCCAGAATGTGACCACGTCTCACCATCTCCTCTGCTAACACTGAGGGCCAAGCCACCCGATCGCTCACTTGACAGACTGCAGTGCCTCCTCCCGCCTCCCCCTGCCTCTGCTCCTGCCTTCCTAAAGTCTGTTGTCTCAGCAGCGGCCGGAGTGACTGATTCGTGGTGTACACGTGGTCACATCCAAACCCTCGGCTCCTCTGCTCAGAACTTCCTATGGCTCCCCACTTCCAAGTAAAACGCGATGACTTCGTCGAGGGCTGTACTGTCGTATTTCATCTAACACCCTCCCCTGCACTGCTAGTTCCGTCCAAACTCATCGAACCCATTCCTGAGGCAGAGCGTTCGCACTTGCGACTCCCCCTCGACCCGGGACAGTTCCCCCAGCCAGTCTGTCCGGCTAACCAGCTCCGTCACTCCGTCGAGGGTCTGTAGCAGCAAGACTTATGGGAGGGGCCTCCCCGATCAGTGTCCACCAGACAGAGCGCTGTCCATGATCACCCAGCCCATCTTCCTGCTTTATTTTTCTTTAGAGCACTTACCCGCTGCCTTATATTTGCTTATCTGTTTGATTGCCCTGCCCACCACCCGCCCCCTGCAAATATAAGCTCCGTGGCAGCAAAGAAGTTGTTTCTTTTGTTCAATGCTGTAAATAAGTGCCTAGGAAAATGTCGGAAATATATGACGTGCTCAACAAGTGATTTGCTGGATGAAACCATGATTCCTCACATATTATAAATACATTACGCATTTAACCCACACAGAGGCTCCGTGTGTGAACAGCGCCAAGAGGGACTAAGCCGTGAGAGGAAGGCATTTCGTGTCTTCCTCTCCGCAGTACTGTCAACCCTGGGGACAGAACCTGGAACACAGTTATTGTTGACTGCAAGCACGCTTGTCGTGGAGGAAGTGAATGGCACTGCGCTGTACTTTTTTCCTATATACCAAAACATTAAAGCATAAATGTAATTTTAATTTTTCTTATTTCTATTTAGAATAGAATGAATGACAAATTCATTGGTAGAAAAATCAAAATTCCAAAATGACCTAATTGAAATCAATATTACTTTACTAATATTTACTTTGACTAATCTTCAGAGATACTTTTATATGAAGGATGAGAGCCCTCGGTTATTGAAGAACTGACTGCTTAGATTGTAGATTTTCTAGGGTTTTGGTTTATCTCTATTCTTTTAAGTTGTTATTATTGCTTTAAAGAGATATTAACAAGTTGGTGGATGATCAGAAAAACTTTCTCAGCTGCCCACAATGAGAGTAGAGTTGGTAATTCTTCCTGCTGGCATATGTATAATTATAGTGGATGAATCAGTGTTCATTTTTAACAGCATTTCAATACGTGGCACTGATGCTTACCCTTCACTCTGATCCTAAGTGTATTATTTGTTAACATCTCAAACGGAATTTTCATTGGGCAAAGGTTGAGTAAGAGTTAAAAAAATAAATTTGTGGTTGGCGGAGGGATCAAAATATAAGATATGAAGGGTTCCTGATCATAGATAATGTGTAATCTGATTGAAAAGGACAAGACAGATTCATACGAAACAAACAGAAGACAGCATAACAACATATGTCACTGTAAACTTCCCATGGTGCCTGCCCGGGAACATCCAGCAGGCCTAACACTGAAATTACCAGGAAGAACCCAGTCTATTGCAAATGATGAAACCACTTAGAGTCCAGAGAACGGTGAAAACATTTACTGAGGACTATGGCTTCCAGCCAAGATGGAGTAATAGGGATCAGATTTACCCTCCCATGTTAAATATTTGAAAAAAAAAAAAAAAAAACTGGACGAATTATGAATCAATAATTTTCAGACACTGGACAACAAGCGGTATGGGACGATGACCCCTACGATAAGTGGAACGAACGAGGTGAGCGCTATGATGCTTCGGCTTACTCCATGGATGAATTTCCAGGCAATACTCAGAGAAAGGAAACTCAAACAAGTAAGTGATCTCCTTGAGTTGAAAAGACACATCTGAAAGTTTGAGGAGGTTGAGGCAGCTGAGATTCGCAGGGAACAGCACAGGAGGGGAGAGAGCAGCATGGCAAAGAGAGAACTTCACAGACAGACAGCTCCGGGGACCTGCAGAAGATTTCTCTCAACCTTGAACCACCCGAGGGAACAGGGAGAACAACTGTTAGAGCAGGGAACAGTCTGTGCTCCCACCAGCCAGAGTGGAAAACCCTGTAATAATAAACAGAGCATCAGGTAGAGTATTCGGCAAAGGAGAAAATACCAGCCTAAGATTGAAAGCTATTCTAAGAAAGCTCACAGGCAAGCCATGAAAAGATCAAACTGTTTACAAGTAAATTAACTACATTCTACGACAAAGCTCAAGAATATTTAAAAGAATGCAAAATATCCAGACCCCAACAAGATAAATTGACAATGTCTGGAGTACAATAAACAATTATGAGCCATGCAAAGAATTAGTAAAATACAGCCCATAACAAAAATAAAAATCAATCAATAGAAATTTTCATAGATGACACAGAACTAGATATTACACAAGAATATTAAGTTATATTCCGTATGCTGAAGATGCTATAGGAAAGCATACACATGCAAAGAGGAAACAAAGAGGATATAAAAATGATCCAGTTCAAACTTAGGTGAAGAAAACAATGGCTGAGATGAAAAATACACTGGATAGAACTGATAGCAGATTAGATACTGAAGAAGAAAATATTAGTGAACTTGAAGCCATAACAATATAAACTCTCCAAAATGAAACACAGAAAAGAGACCGAAAGAAATGAACAGACATCGAAAACTAACATAAAATATTGAATGTCAACTCCAGTTGAAAAATAAAAATTAAAAAAAAAATGAACAGAGCATCAGTGAGCACTTCACCCAGTCCAAAATCTGTGCAGTTGGGGCCCCTGAAGGAAGGAGAGACAGAAAATACATTAGAAGAAGTAATGAATGAAAGCATCCCAAATCTGATGAAAACTCACAGATCGAAGAATCGCGACAAACCCCAAGTACAAGAAACATGAAGAAAACAACACCTGTGCACATCAAATTGCTGAAAACCATTGGTAATGAAAATAATGTAGAAGTCATCTAGAGAAAACAGACACTCTATGAAAACAGGAGCAAAGATAAACTACAGGAGACTTCTTATTGGAAAAATGAAAGCCAAAGACAGTTAATCAACATCTTCAAAGTACCGAGAAAAGAGATATGACATTCTGGAGTTGTGTACCAAGTGGAAATATTTTTCAAAGATGAGGTGAACTGAAGTCTTTAACACACAGTGCTGGGACGGCTGGATATCCACACAGATGCAAAAGAAACATATTGAACACTGCCTTATACCACATACAAAAATTAACTCAAAATGGGTCACAGAGCTAAATGTAAGAGCTAAAACTAAAAATCTTAGAAAAAAACATAGGAAATCTTGGAGTAGGCAATGATTTTTTAGATATTACACTAAAAACACCAGCGACCAAAGAAAAAAACAGATAAATTGGATTTTATCAAATTTAAAACTTATGTTCTTTAAAGGACATAATCAAAATGTAACAAGATAACTATACAGAAGGAGAGAAAATATTTGCCATTTATATATCTGATAAGAGATTTGCATCTAGGATAATATAAAGAACTCCTAAAATTCAATAATAAAAAGACAAATAACCTGAAGAATTATAAGCCAGGTAAATCCTAGTAAGACTTTCAATTAAAAATATTAACACTATAATTGGTTATACTATAGAGAGTCTAAAAACCAACATTCAGGGTTTTTCTTTGTCAGATCAGCCTGCACAATGTATTTCCTGCTGGGCCTCTTGAAACCTTCCTTTCTTCTGTCTTTCCAGATTTCTGGCTTTGGTGTCCAGTGTTGCCCTTTGAGGCCAGTGTCTAGGAGATTGGTCCACCTTTTGCACTTGTGCCAAAGGAACCCCAATGTTGGCCCCACCCCCGAGGGCAGAGTGACTCTGGGTCCTTGTTATATTCTTTAGAGAGGCAACTCCTAAAGGATAAACAAGTGCCTCTTGCTAATACTCATCACCTCTCTCAGTGAGAATGGGGGGATGGGAGGCACAAAAGAACCCTGCCACACAATAAGGACTAAAATGTGTTTTGGTACAAATTCTGAGCACTAAAGAGTTACACGAAGGAGGCCAGTAAATGACTGTGGTGGGCCTTGAGTTAGGTCTTGGTAAGTAGGATTTAGATTCTAAAAAGAAAGGGAAGGGGAGGTGAAGAAAGCAACATAAGACAAAAGAAAACGGAAAGTAACTTTTAAAGGACAATGAGGAGACCTAATATTACCTGAGTAAAATGATCCCATGATCAGAGGAGTAAGAGATAAATTTGGGTGGCTAGGGTAGGTCAGATTATAAAAGCCCGTGAAAATCAAGCACAAGAATTTAGACTTAGTAGAGTGAAAAACAGAAAGCTATCAGACTATAAGTAAAGGCATCATAAAACCGAAATGGGCTCTAAGTGTCTTGTTCTGAAAGCTAGGGAGATTGGAGTTTGTGTTGAGCATGGCCAGTAGGGTTAAATCCTCCCCCCAACAATTAAAAAGCCAAGCCAAAGTCACGTCAAAGGGTATGGCCTACTGGGAGTGAGTCATATACCAGGCAAGGTCTTCTATCAGCATGTAGTATTTGTCTAGTCTTGGCAAATATTATTCCAATTTCTGTTGTACAAAGAAAGAAACTCAAACATCTGAAATTGCCACTAACATATAGGCTTATATATAAGTTCCTGTTTCCGGTTCTGCCTAATTTACCTTGGCTCTGTTTTCACAGAAGTCAAATATTTGGTGCTTTGAAATAAATGCAGAACAAACTCCGGGGTAGGGCCTGTACAAATCAATTTCCGCAGTGTAGACTGTTTGGCTTCATCTATTACAGTTTTCAGATAAGAATTACTTCCTTACGGGACAACAGTGGTGGCAGGGAATGCAGTCAAAAGCATTAAACTGGGTCTCAGAAGTCTAATTGTATGACCCTAGGGAAGTCATCAATTTTTCTGAGTCTTCGATTCCTCGTCTATAAAATTGGGGCTAATGTTAACACTTCAAGATTCATAGTGGTAAGTATAAAAGGCAACGTTTATTAAAGTTGCTCATTGATGTTGTTTAAATAATTAAACGGCAACGTATCTGGCTCTTAGCCAACAGGTATGGTTGATGGTTCAACAAGAGCCTCAGCAAATCAATGACTGTGACAAAGGAGACATGTTTAGATAGCACCTACCCTGGAAACTCACTTCTTACTAAGTCAGCATGGCAGGTAACATCCTCTCAAGCTGTGCCTGGAGGATGCACTAAGAACTCAGAGGGAGAAATAGTTCTTGAGGATAACACACAGTCACAGCCCACCTGTTAACAGATCACATGTGGAGACAAAGCAAACCTGAATCTCCAGCATTTTAATTGATACATTCAGTATAGAATTAGGAACAAGAACATAAATACCATTATGAAGACGACTCAAACACCAAGCAATTGTCTGCAGAAAGAATAAGAGTTCCTTGCAAGTATGAGAGCGCATTCCTATTTAAAGCTACACGGGATGTGAAATAGTATGCAATACATAAGAGGATGAATGAATGACATCAAACCAGAATGGTTAGCTAGAGGATCCAACCTGATACTCCCCTTCTGCTGATTCTCTGGAACCGTGCTGTCCAATAGCAATATAATGGCAGCTACGATGTAATTTAAAATTTCTACAGGTCACATCAGAAAGATGAAACAAATCAGATGAAACTAATTTTAATAATACATTTTATTTAACTCGGTCTATCCAAAATGTTACCATTTCAATTTGTAACCAACTTACGATGATCGATGAGATATTTTACATTATTTTATATGAAATCTTTGAAATCTGGTGTGTATTTTATACTTACAGCACATCTTAATTCAGACGATGCACATTTAAAGACAGCACAGTTCTAAGAAATAAGGATTAAAAATTAACACCAGATCCATATCACATAATTATACATATCTGTATGTTATTTTGCTTTAAAGAAAAGCAAAGCTTAAAATTGTTTTCGGATTTAAAATATTTTTGACCAAGGGAACTTCTGTGGAAGGAAAAAGAATGATGGTGGTTATCTCAAAACCCCTAAGTTTTTGTTTGTTTGAGATCGGAGGTTGAGATTTTTCTTAGGATATCTGAGAATTTCATTGCCACTTCAGATGAATCTGAAGTCCTTAATAAAAAGTATAAGCTATAGTTATCATTATACTCCTACGGTAGCCATGCGTTTATCCTTTATTTCTCATAATTATCCTATTCTTGACAAACATAAAGAAACCAAGAATGACATTTAAATGTGGAATAAAACAATGTGACTGCATTAGGGAAACACAGTCGCAGTTAAGAGACCAGAGCATGTTCCTGGCTTAGGCAAACGTTTCTCGCTAGAGCTCTCTTGGCATTTTGGGTGGGATATCGTCTTCAAAACTGAAGGTGAAATAGACATTTTGAGATCAGGACAAACTGAGAGAATGCAACATCAACAATCTACACCATAAGTAATGTTAAAAAAATTTCAGGATGAAAGGTCATGACACACCTGATGAAAACTGTTGTGTTTCCGTTATCCTTCACATTCAGCCACTTTACTTTCGACCTCTATTTCACAAAAAGTTTGTCAAGTTTCCCCATGAAAAGGGACCCCAGACGGGCCCGCGGAAGCAGAAATGCTGAAAGCAAAAAAGATATTCTTGCCCAAATTTGGTGGGGGTAGTCAAGTCACCTAAATTCAAAGCTAACATTTTAAAAAAAGAAAAAGTATTTCGAGGAATCGACTAAAAGGTTACGCGGCTTATTCTGTCACGATCACCAGGCACACCTCTCAGGCTCCCCAAGGCGCTCGAGCGCCAAGCAAAAACCTAAAGGTTATCGCACAGTGAATTACCCGGGTTAAGTGACGCTCTGCTTTTTTGACTGTTCATCTCATCCAGCCGCCCTCCCCTCGTCCCAATGTCTACTTGCGATTAGAGTCTCCCATTTTCCCTACTGGGATAGACAAAAAGTAAACCTGGAGCCAACGCAACGGGAAGGCGGAAATCCACGGTCACTTCCGGGTCACTTCCGAGGTCGAGGCGCGGACAGCGGTGGCCCCGCCTCCGAAGGCGGGGTTAGGGCGGGGCTGCGTCTGCGCGCTGCCTGAGAGCCCGAAGCCAACTTTGCGCATGCTCACGCGAAGCCGTCGCCGACTCCGCTTCCGGTGCGTGTGCTCGTGAGTTTCCGGGGCAGGGAGGCCGGTTTTGGTGGGACTTAAGAGCTCCGGCTTTAGGCAGGTAGGAGCCGCTGGCGTCGTCGCGTCAGTCACTGCCGGCGTCCAGCGTGGAGTCCGAAGGGCTGTGCTGGGAGTCTCCCGTGTTCTTCCGCTGTTTTCTCCGGATGCTCCGACAGCACGAGCTCTGAGAATGAGGCGGAGGGTGGAGACGCTCTGGTTACCATGGCTGCCTGGCCTCAGCGTAGCCTTGGAGACTTTGGGAGGGGAGAGCCGTTTCTGTAAGGACGCCTTAAAGTGCACGGGCGTCGGGTTCAAATTCACGTGCTCTCGAAAACCCATGCTCCTGACCCTAGAATTTTGATTTTTAAACATTTGCCTTGGCCGTGATGGGGGGCAGCAAGATTTAAGGCCAGGTCTTAGTTACAAAGCTAATGCAGCAGTGTAGACACAGTTCGAAGTTGTGCAGAGCGAGCTGGCGGTGTGCGCTTGAGGAGAAGAGGGAAGGCGCGGGAAGTCCTTGCAGACGGGACCCGCAGGACCTGTGATCAGCTGGATAGGGGGAGGGAGGGAGAGGGGCCCGGAGCGTCTTGAGGATTAAGTCCCAACTCAGCTTAGCATGTGGTCTCTTTATAGATTCGTTTCCCAACGTCACTTCTGCTCCTCCTCAAAGACCCCCACACCGTTTCTGGTCCTAACCTTTCCTGTGACTGTGGGGCCTCATTACTTCACTAAGCCACTCAGTTTTTCAGCGTGAAAATGGGAGAAAATAAATAGTACTTACCTCGGAGTGTCAGTAACGATTAAATTAGATGGTTTATATAGAAAGGACCCCCAAAATGTTCACTGTTTGTTGTTATTGTATTGTTTTGTTATTACGCATCATTTTGCTTTTTCTTTCTCTAGACGATTTTTTTTTTCTTTTTTAAATTAAGGGGCAGTCTGTATTTTCTTAAAACAGTAGTTTTTTTTTTTTTAAGGGATTATTTATTTTGGCTGTTGCTGATCTAATTAAATTTATTTCTTTGAAGGAACTACCAGACAGAATTAATTTTGCCGATCAAACGATATTTGTTAGATTAAAAATGGCTGTTTTCTGTATAACTCAGAAGGCTGTGGATTATGATGTACAGAAAGTAACTGATCTTCTCATTTTGGAATTAGGTATGAGCGATTTCAGCGAGGACTTGATAAGGCCCATGACAGAGGATGACCCCGGGGGAAACTGTGTGCCCTCTGGTACAGGAATGTATCTTCCTTGGCTCCAAAAGCATATAGAAAGTGTGGGTAAGTAAAATAACACACAACCGTTTTACCGTCAGTGCAAAGAGGGAAGATTCAATGAGTATAGAAAATGAATAACCAAGCTGGATCTTTTTTCAATGTAGGAGTATATGAGGGTTTTTTACACTGTAGCAAAAAAGAAATGATGAAAAAAATAGTTTCTTTTTCCTTTTAGGATTCTTTTCCTTTGTTTAATAACAGATGGTCTGTATTGTGGGAGATACACATTTTTCCTCAGTAATACGTCCTGAGCACTTATATCTCTGGCATTAGCTAAATATTGGGGCTACATAGATGTAGACGATACCATTTCTGCCACTGAGGAGTCCATACCTAGGAGGTATTTTCAAGAAGTTTCTTTAGAATTGTGTTGAAATAATTCCTGATAGAATCGACCAATAATAGGTTTCGAAGAAAGAATATTTTCCCCCATTGTCATCTCACGTAAATACAAGTGAGTTTTTCCATGGGATAAATTCTCTACTAGAGTATATGAAAGAAGCTGTTACCTCCGTGTCGCCATGTTGGTGGCACAGTTCTGGGAATGTGTTTGGATCAGCACTTTTCTTACTGCCCTCAGATACATCTTTCTTAGCCCAGCCCTCTTTGCCCTTGACTGAGACTCCTGGGCTCCTAGAATTTAGCTCCTATTTTTTTTTTATCTTTTAATCTAAATTTTATCTCGTGTAATTATCTCAGCAGATTCATCCTCAGTAAATCTACATGCTAGGCATTTTAAAGGTGAAGAAACTGATTCTCAAAGAAGTTAAACTCTAAGTGCTGGTCTCAGGAGTCAAAGCCACTAATACCCGCTAGTCTACTTGTTAAAACTTCCTGTTATCAGAAGTAAGTTTATTGCCATGGAATTGGGGCCACGGTGGGTGAAGACTCATCTCTTTACTCTTTACAGCGACTGGAGGGAAAAAAGAGAAGGATTTTGCTCAGACAACAAATGCTTGTTTACATTTTATCCAAGAAGCTCTGCTGAAGCACCAGTGGCAGCAGGCTGCAGAATACATGCACAGTTATTTTCAGACCTTGGAAGATGCGGACAGCTGCAAAAGGCAGGCTGCACCAGAGGTAAGTGAAGAGCCAGCCTGCGGGAGGAGATTACCGGGGTCTGGGGCGCCAGCCTCTTAAGCCCCACCGAGAAGAGCCTTTGCAGGATCTCAAATCGATTTTACTAAAAGCTACTAAAAGTAGTTGTGGATGGAGAGTTTGTGTTGGGACATCACTTATGCACTTCTTTTTACTTATTATGATTTTAAAGGTGACTAAAAATAGTTTGAACTCTGAATTCTCAGTGTCCCTAATATTCACTCATTCGTTCCAGTAATTCTTCCTTATTTCCCTGTGTCAAGATTTCTCCGTCTACAGGATGTTTCCTGTCATCATACAAACGTAATTTCTTCCATCTTAGAATCATCTCTTGATCCCCCCACCTTCCACAGGCTGTGCCCCAGTTTTCTATTCTCCCTTCCCGCAAAACTCCTTGAAAGCGTGTGTATCCCCGTTCTCCCCAGACCCTCTCCGGCCATGCTCCCCGACTGCCGCCATCACCGTTTCTACCAAATTGCTTTGTCAAGGTCAACAGTGATCTCCATGTTGCTAAATCCAGTTGCCAGTCCTCAGCCCTCATCTCACTTGATCTGTCGGCAATATTTAAGGTCGTCGGTCATTCCTTCCTGTGTGAGAAACCCTTCACCTGGCTTCCAGGGCACTGCCCGCTCTCGGTTTTCTCCTGCCTCCCTGGCCATCCCCCTGGCTCCTTTCCTGGCCGCTCGGCTTCTCCTTGGCCTTTTGACTTGGGAGTGCCGCAGAACCTGATCTTCAGTCCTCTTCCTTATTTGAATTCACTCTTGATGATCTCATTCAGTTTCGTAACCTTAAACTTGGTCTATATGCTGACAGTTCCTTCCCAATTGTATATCCGCGGCCCTGACATCTCTCTTTAGGTCCAGATTCTACTCTGGATACCTAGTGGTCATATCTTGCTAACATATCTAAAAGGGATCTTCTGATCTTCACCATCAAACCTAATTTTCCTTATCTCCGATGATGGTTATTTTATGGGTCTAATTACTAGGGCCAAACTGGAGTTGTCTTTCTTTCTTACCCCACATCCAAACCATCAGAAAGTCCTGTTGGCTCGACTTTCAAAATATACGTACATTCTGAGTACTTTCCGCCAACTCCACTGCTGCAACTCGATCCAAGCCACTGTCATCCCACTTAGATGACTGTTTGCCCTACTCCACCCCTAGTCTGTCTTCAGCATAGCAACTAGAGTGATCTTTTTAAAACAAAAATAGCTTTGTCGAGGTATAATTAACACACCATACAATTCACCCACGTAGGTTGTAAAATTCAGTGTTTTTTGGTATATTCACAGAGATGTGCAGCCGTTACCATGATTTAAATTTAGAACATTTTTGTCCCCCCAGAAGGAAACTCTGTGCCCACTTGCAGTCACCCCTTTTTCCTCTTTACCCCCCAGCTCCAGCAACCACTAATCTAGTACTTTCTATTCTGGACATTTCATCTAAGTGGACTCATATAATATATGGCCTTTGCGAATGATTTCCTTCATGCACATAATGATTTCAAAGTTTATCCATGTTGTAGCATGTATTAATACTTCATTCCTTTTTATTGCAAACTAATATTCCACAGTGTGGGTTTATCACATTTTATTCATTCATCAGTTGCTAGAAATTTGGGTTGTTTCCACTTTTTGGTCACTGTGAGTAATGCTGCTGTGAACATCACACACGACTTTCTGTACAGATGTTTGCTGTAGTTTCCCTTGGGTGTATGTATACCTGGGAGTGGAGTCGCTGGGTCACATGGTAACAGGTTCACCTCTCGAGGAACTGCCAGACCGTTTACGAAGCGATTGCATCATTTACGTTCCCAATTACGTTTACATTCCCGCCGGTAGTATATGAGGGTTCCCATTTCTCCACATCCTTGCCAGCATTTGTCATCGTCTGTCTTTTTAATGATAGCTGTCCCAGTGGTTGTGAAGTGGTGTCTCCTCGTGGTTTTGATTTGCTCCAAGCCCTGTGACTAAGGACTAATGATGCAGCATGATCCTTTTAAGGCATTTCATGTCACTCTGCTGAAAACTTGTGATGGCTTCCCGTTCCACTCGGAGCGAAAGCCACAGTCCTGATTGCCTGCAGACTCTGCCTGATCCGCTG